GAACCCCTGCTGGTTGCAGGTGCCATGTTAGGTGCTGGGGACATCAGTGAGCCAGACAGACCCCTGCCCTCGGGGGCCTTGTGTTCCCAAGAGAGAGAAGACAGAGGAGAGGATAATGGGATGTGTGGGCTGTTTAAGGGTGAGCCCTGTTGGGAAGAAAATGGAGCAGAAGAGGTGCAGGGGTGCTGAGGGAGGCAGGCGGGTTGCGACTCTAAAGAGGGACAGAGGTGAAGAGGAGTGGGGGGGGGCTCACTGGGGAAGAGCCTTCCTGGCAGAGGGCGTGCAAAGGCCCTGGGGCAGGAGTGTGCCTGGCGCGCTTGGGGAACAGCCAGGAGGCCTGGGCTGGAGACAGCAAAGGAGGAAGAGGAGGAGAAGGGCTGAGACAGGCCCTGTCAGGACTTCAGGTTTTCCTTCTCAGAAGGCAGCTACTGAAGGGCTTGGACCAGTGGTGGGTGTAGCAGGCTCTGGCTTCTGTTTGAAAAGATTGCTCAGGTTGCCGTGTTGAGACTAGACTGTGGAGGTCGCGGTCAGGAACCTGGCGGGGAGCTGGTCCTGAGTAGGGCAGATCTGAGCAGCAGGAAACGCATGGGGGTAGACCAAGCATGTCAAACTCAAGGCCGGCGGGCTGCTTGCCTAAACGAGGCATGAGGACCACCGGAAGTTTGACATGCTTGGTGTAGACAAAAGGTCCAAAGATGAGCGCTGCGCCCTTGGACGTGAGAGGATGGGAAGAGGAAGGAGGAGGACCTGGAAACCCAAGGCAGGCTGGGAAGCAGGGGTGTGATAAGGGGCACCCTGGGTGCTCAGCGGGGGGCAGGGGGTCCCCAGGGAGTGGAGGCAGGAGAAAACAGGGTGAAATGAAATGGAGGCCATGAGTTCCAACAACTGTCTCCAAGCCGTCGCCAGCAGCCAGAGGCGACTTTGGCACCAAGAGAGGGTCTCTTTCAAGATGGGACAGATGAGTAACCTAGACAAGGGACAGGGTGGTGGCTGGGCAACATCCTGGGGTGGGTGCAGGGCCAGGCAGTAAAGGAGGAAGTAGGGGCATGGGGGGGCATTGTGTTTCAGTCAGGGTGACACAGGGAGCCCCCCAACCCCAGCCTGGCCGGATCCTCCCCGGCCTTCCCAGAGGCCTCAGCCATACCCTCGGAGTCACTCATCCTTAATGGAAAGTGTTTCCACGAATCCTCTTAATTTTTTTAAAATACATTTTTATTGGTTTCAGAGAGCAAGGGAGAGGGAGGGAGAGAGAGAAACATCCATGATGAGAGAGAGTCATCAATCAGCTGCCTCTTGCATGCCCCCCACTGGGGATCAAGCCCACAACCCAGGCATGTGCCCTGACCAGGAATCGAACTGTGACCTCCTGGTTCATAGGTCGATGCTCAACCACTGAGCTACACCATCCGAGCTCCTTTTTCTTTAAAATTCTCCTGTTGGAGTGCTTGAAGTCCCCACGGGCCAGGTGGGGGAGGGCAGGGCCTGACTCAGTAGTCAGAGAGGAGGGCCCCCAGGGATGCCTGCCACCCAGAGGGTCCAGGCAAGTGGAATCTCTGCCCTCAGGGCTGGTGGAGCCCAAGGGGCCTCCAGGGCCTGGCAGGCCTGGCAGCAGCAGCGGCAGTGGGAGGTTCTACCGCAAAGAGGTTGGGACCCAAGGCCTATGGGACACACTGATGGGGCACTGGACTCAGGTGTCCAGCTGAGGCCCGGCTGGAGCCCTGCACTGGGACAGGAAGGCTAGGTGAGGGCCAGGGTGGGCAGGGCCAGGCTGAGGGCGCTCCGCAGCCTTCTTCAATGGCCATTGGCCATCCAAGGAGAGGTGAGGGGCAGCAGGCACATACGTCTAGCACACTGGGGAGGGGCGGACCCCGGCTGCAGACACAGGTGGTGGCAGTACAGGGTGTGCTTGGCATCAAGGCGGCCTGTGGGTTGTAGGCAGCATTGACAGACAGCCTTGAGGGTGTGAGGTCCCTGTAAGAGTGGTAGAGATGGAGGGGTGGCCTGAGGACCCCACCCTGGGACCATCCCAGGCCAGGAGAGGAGCCTGAGGAGGCAGTGAGGGCCCTGTGCTGTGGAAGGGTACTGGTCCCACTCGCTGTGAGGACATCCCTGGCATCCATGTGCAAGCTCGGGCCTCCAGGGCGAGCATCTCTTAGAAATGTTTGCCACTTCTCACTGAGCCAGTGACTCGGGAATTGACTATGCCCTTCAGCGCTGAGTGGCCTGAACCCCCAACCCCTTCCCCATCATAAGACAAATGCCAACCCCTTTGTTAATAGCCCGAGATTTGCATGCAGGGGAGTGGAGCCTGCAGATCAGCTGAAAGCCCCCAGCAGCGGAATGTTTGAGCAGAGGGCCCTGGAGCCCCCTGTTGGTGACTGAGCGACTGCTGGGTGCCAGGTTTTGGCAACAGGCAGGCCCAATCCCTCCCCCAAAGCCAGGGACAAGACAGGCATCAAAGTGAGTCTTCAGTTCCACCCTGAAGGAAACTTCCGGTTTAGAGCAGCAGAAGCTGGGAGAGGAGGGTTGACTACCCTTCTTGGGCAAAGACTTGGGAGTTCAACCAGGCACACGGAGACCAGAGGAGGGTCTGAGCAGGGCCCTGGCCTGATCACGTGACCCAGCTCTTAGTGAAGGGATGGGCTCAGCAAGAGGAAAGGGTGTAGCCAGAGTCACGGGATCCTGGCTGGCAAGACCACCTCGAAAGGGCCCCTCAGGGTCAAGGGCAACATTGACAGACAGCAACTTGTTCTCATTTCTGTGACTTCGGGGGTGTGGCCCACCGCTGAAATGGGTATCCCACACCAGCACGTAGCCACGGCAGATGTCGTGGTGGCTCCCCCTGAATTCTGCAGCAGAAAAGGCCCAAATAGTGAAGTCTATCTACAATGGCTACAAAAAAGGACATTCGGTTTCTTTTTATTAAACCTGGCAAGCGATTCTCGATTTCTGTGTGACCCGGATCTCCGAAGCCAATCTGGGGGGGAATTAAGGAACGAGGTGCAAATAGTCGGCCGTCTGCAATCCGGAAGATGTGGCTTCACCAAATTCAGAGAAAATCCTAACCTGATTTTGTATATGGAGGTAGAAAATGCCCATTTTATGCATCTCTTTGGCTCAGTGTTTTTCACTTGAAAGGCTGTGAGTTTTGCCTGGTTTAAAGTGATCTAGGAGCGCCGGGGCAGATGCTGAGGGTTGAAAGGGACTCATTCTCAACATTGTGATTCATGGTCTAAATGAGGGGGCAGCAAACTTCTCTGTAAAAAGGGCTTGGCAGGCCAAGTCTCTGTCCCACCTACACAATGCCCTTGGATCTTGAAGGCAGCCATAGACAATGCATACATGAAGAGCGCGGCTGTGTACCAATAAAACTTTATTTACAAAAACAGGCAGAGGGCCAGAGTTAGCCCTTGGGCCACAGTTCGCCAACACCTTATCTAAACCAACAAAACCAAATCCTAGAACCTTGGGGCTGGAATGACTTTGGGACTCACATGGTGCTCACCCTCTCACATAGGGAGGGGCTGGCTTCCCCATCCCAGCACAAGGCCAGCCAGCTTGGGCCCAGGCTGGGGGCCAGGAAGTGAGCAAAGAAAGGGAGCAACTCTGTGGCTTGGAAGCCTGATGAGACTTGAGCCCTCATGTAAGCGAAGGTGGAGCACCAGTGAAGGGAGGGGTCAGAGAGACCCAGTGGCTAATTCTGGGAGCAGGATCTCTCACGGGAGGTGCAGGGTCAGAGGGCTGCCTGGGCGGGGAAGCAGGGCATTGTGGGAAGCTCTTCCCTTTGGGGAGTTTTGTTGACCTGAGGTCTGCAGATGCTAGCGGGGTGGCCAGGGAAGGAGGCATAGAAAAGTCGGAGTAGATGGAAGGGTCTGCTAAGGAAAAGATGAGCCAGTCAGATGCACCGAACTGCAGGCCAGACGCTGTAAAGAGACACAGGAACTGCCAGCGTGGATCAGAGCATCTGGACGGGACAGGCTTAGTGGGTGCCACTCAAAAGTGGAGCCATGTTCAGTCTTGGATGCTTCCAGATGGGGGGTTGGAAAGCTCTGGGAGCAGGGCATTGTGGAGCTCTGAGGAAGGGCCTGGGCCACAGGCCCTGACTATAGTCAGACGAGTCCCAGATCCATGTCCAGAGGATGTGGACCTGGGGGTGTGGACAGAGAAGAGGGCCAGGCCCAGGCCAGAAGAAGGAGCAGTGGAGGAGATGGGGCCAGAGTAGCCAGCGAGGTAGGACGGGTCCAAACATGGGCAATGTCTGGGAAGCCAGAAGTTTCCAGAAAGAGGAGCAGTTGGCTGTGTCGAGCGTCCCTGAGGAATCAAAAAAGATGGAGACACAAATGCTGCTGAGCTTAGCAGGGACGCTGATGGCTGAATGGTGTGGGCATGGCGGGTGCTGGCTATGGCGAGGAGAGCTGGGAGGGAAGCGAAGAGATCCCTAGAGAAACCAGGCAGGGAGACCCACTCAAGAAAGGTTGGCAATGCACCCATAGACTTTCCGGTAAGAGAAGGCGTGGAGCCCTCTCCAGCGTTCTCCCTTTTTCGCATCATCTCCCTGTTCCACCAAATTGGAATTCCGATCTGGCTCAGACCCCAGGGGCCACCTAAGCCAGTCGAGCCCCAGCACAGGGCAAGGGGAGGTAGCAGCTGAGAACACGGTGCTTCTGTCACTCAGGGATTCCAGAATATCTGCCTGGGTCAGCCTAGGGCAAGCCACCGCCACTGGCTCTGCATGTGAGTCAGTTGACAAGACCGAGACCCAAACTGAAACCCTCACCACAGCCAGGCAAGAGCCACCCCAACCAGTCCATTCCAATGGATGAGCATTTGTCACACGGTGACCCCCTGCCATGGATGTGGGTGGAACTTGCCAGCACCTGGTCTGCCATTGATTATCTCCTCTCTTTCTCTTCTCTCCTTCCCTCCCTCCTGCTCCCTCCCTCCCTCCACTATCCCCTCCCCCCACCCCTGGGGCCCCTGTCCCTCCACCTCCGCTCCAGATCCGAGTGGTGAAAGCATTCCGTAGCTCGCTCTACGAAGGCCTGGAGAAACCGGAATCCAAGACTTCCATCCATAACTTCATGGCAACGCCCGAATTCCTGATCAATGACTACACCCACAACATCCCGCTCATAGATGACACGGATGTGGATGAGAACGAGGAGCGCCTGCGGGCCCTCCCACCCCCCTCCCCCAACCAGAACAACAACGCCATAGACAGCGGCATCTACCTGACCACGCATGGCACCAAGTCAGCTACCTCGTCAGTGTTTTCTTCCAGACCCGGGAGCCCGCTCCACAGCGTGGAGACGTCCCTCTAAGCATAACTGCTGTCCGCACGCGCACCCCCCGCACACATGGGCACCCAGGCGGGACACACAGGCCTGCAGGAGGGCACAGCCATGGCAGCTGGACACGTTGCTCGCTCGCACAGCACTTGCAAGAAGCCAAACCATTCAAGGCTTCTTACCTGGGACCAAGGAGATGCAGGAGGAAGAGGAGGAGGAGGAGGAGGGGGAGGAGGAGGAGGGAAGGAAGGAAGGAAAAACTAGAGAACAAGAAGAGCCGTGTTCCCCACTTTTTTCTATCGAAGCTTTTTTTTAACGAACACTACAGTGCCACCCGATTTCTGTCATTGGGCTGTGCGGTGGGGGCACGGGGTTGGTTTTGGTTTCTCAGCAACTTTGTTGCACCCACTGGAGAGCCATTGGAGCAACAGATTCAATGCAAAAGGAAAGCAGGCGAGCACTGCTTTGCAAGGTTGGGAAGGATGCCCGTCACCAGACAGCCCGCCCGCCCGAGAGAGCCGCCTGCAAACGTATGCGAACCGCCAAGCACCCCATCCCCGGGACACATGCAGTCTGTGTGTGTGCGTGTGCGTATAGGCCTATACGTGCATATTTAAAGAATAAGGAACTATTTATCGGCATGATCTTTCCATTGCTCTTATCAGATGTTCTTCTTTTGAAATTTCATTATTTATTGTGGCAGGTTGATTTGTTCAGGGAACTAGACTGCAAGAATCGCTTTTTGGTCGCTTGCCCTGCCCCGGGCTCCCAGCCTCCTCCCCTGTCTCCCCCCCTCCTCCTGGCACCATCCCGGGCAGTATCACCATCGCGATTCCCAGCAGAAGGTCAGGGGAAGGGCGAGGTTAAGACGCAAGCGGTTACCGTTGGAACATTTGCACTTTGAGACCCCTGCCTATAGAGGAAAAAATAGACCCTTTTGATGGAATTTTTATTTAAAAGGAAAATACCAAAGTATTGATGAGGATGATCCCTCCCAGGAGGTAGAAGGGGGCATTTTGCTTTCACTTTCCTTTGGTTTCAATTCCAATTCCAAGTGCTGAATTCTGGCTGCTGGGCTTTCTCTGTCTACAATCCAAGTCCAAGCTCTGCCCCCTGCTGCCTCTAACCCCATGTGGGGACCCAGAATAGGGGGAGGAGTGACAAGAATCAGACAGAAACCAGTGGAGGAAGAGATACCATCAAAACCCAAGAGGAGCTGACGTGGCTGCAATACGGACCCAGCCCTCTCGCACCTCCCACCGGACTCCCATTCTTTTTTGGCAAATGCCAAGTAGTTGTTGCCGAGGCGCCCATAACGCTGCTCGGAAAGTTCTCAGTCACAACCCACCTAGCGCTCTTCCGACCCCAGTCTTCTCATTCAACAACTCTGACCCGTGACAGCATGGATTTGTGTCTACAGCCACTGACAACGACATCAGGGAACCAGATGCCGAGGCAAAGCCCCCAGGAGCCATGGCCCCTCGTGGCAGTTGCTCTAATCCCACCTGTGGCGCTTTCTCGTGAGTCTGGAAGGCTGAGGAGGTCAGCTTCACCACGTGGGCCGAACACCTATCTGCAGGTGCGGAGAGCTGGGCCTGGGCTCCCCAGATGGTTCCCTCGGGAGCCTCTCCTTGCAGTGTGGGCACCCAGTGTGCCAAGCCTCAGTTTCCCCGAATGCACCCTAGCCAGGGAGGGAAATACAGAGAAAGCAGAGATCCTTTTAACATCAGAATTCATCTGTCTCACGTTTCCCAGGGAGATAGGGTACAACCATGGCTCCTCCGTGTGCCTGTCACTGGGGCCTGGGGTTGAGCCACTGGGGGGTGGCTGGGGACTGAGGGACAGAGGGTCAGAATGGAAACTGCAGGTGCAGTTGAGCAGTAGCTGGACTGGTGGCAAGGCTGGTCCGCCTATCACGCCCCCCGCCCACGCGCTCCCCACCGGCTGGGTCTCGTCTTACCTCCACCTGCGTCGTGAGCATCCGCGCTGGCGGCCAAAACACGCTCAGGCTGCACTGTTAGCATGGATGCCACGTCACCCCTGAGCAGGAGTAGTCAAACCTCGGGCAAAGGAATTTCGGTTAAAAAAGAAAATCCCACTTCAAATGCCAGCTCCAGATAACTTAAAGCCATCCCTTTCTTCCAAAGGGCACATCGAGAATGTCACCCATGTGTACATTGTCCCCTATGTCCTTGTTTCGACCACCACAAAAAGGGCAACTCAATTCGGTGAGGGTCTGTGTTCTTAAAAGAAGTCAAGTTGGAAATGTTTCAATTGAAGAAGATGAGCTCCATCACACTCCACCCATGGGCTTCTTTTCATTCTGTTGTAGACACACTGGTAGAACTGACGTTCCATATATATTTAAAGCACCCTCGCTGCTGCTGTACAAAGTTGCCTACTGTACATGTCGACTGTTTAGTCCTAGGTTGCCTTTCCGTGGGGTGTGTGGTTCAGAAACGGGGGGGCTGTGACCTCGGCTCATTGCTCTGGCTTCTGTCGTCTTCAGACCGAGGGACCTGTGTCACCAGGGAGCCCCTCTCTATAAAACATTATATTATATGGAATGGCTTGGTCAACCGTGTTCAGTTATTAACTATGTTTTACATTTTTATCTGCCTGTTATAAAGATGAACAAAAAAAATATCTTAACGAGGAAGACCACAGATGCATACTAATTTAAAGTCTGTAGTTGAATTTCCTAATTAAAGAATAGACCAAAATTTCTGTGTATAAAAAAAAAAAATGAAAGGCTTCTACAATCCTGGTCTGGGTAACTCGTGTGATTTATTTGGTGAATTCTCATCTGGAACAAAAGAAAGGTGTGTTCGTCTGCTTCGCCCACTGGTCCAAGCCCCGGGAGTGGCAGGGTTCCCCTGAGTGTATGGCCACCAGTCTGATCAGATGGAAGGGGTTCACCCGCCCTGGGGGGCCAGATGCGCTCCTGGCAGAGGTTTGCATCGCAGTCCTCTCACTGCCTTGACCTGGAAAGGCCTGGCCTGAATGTCCTCCCTGGTGTGTCCTCAGAGGAAGGTGGGGGACCAGAGATGATCACAACAATTCAACGCCAGCAAATCAAGCCCAATGCCAGGACCTTGACACACGGGTAGACTCCCTCTTCTCCTTCTTCTTCTTCTTCTTCTTCTTCTTCTTCTTCTTCTCTTCTTCTTCTTCTTCTTCTTCTTCTTCTTCTCCTCCTCCTCCTCCTCCTCCTCCTCCTCCTCCTCCTCCTCCTCCTCCTCCTCTTCTTCTCCTTCTTCTTCCTCTTCTTCTTCTTCTCCTCCTCCTCCTCCTCCTCCTCCTCCTCCTCCTCCTCCTCCTCCTCCTCCTCCTTCTTCTTCTTCTTCTTCTTTTGTTAATCCTCACTCGAGGATATTTTCCCCATTGATTTTTATTTATTTATTTATTTATTTATTTATTTATTTAATATATTTTTTATTGATTTTTTACAGAGAGGAAGAGAGAGGGATAGAGAGCTAGAAACATCGATGAGAGAGAAACATCGATCAGCTGCCTCCTGCACACCCCCTGCTGGGGACGTGCCCGCAACCCAGGTACATGCCGTTGACCGGAATTGAACCTGGGACCCCTCAGTCCACAGGCTGATGCTCTATCCACTGAGCCAAACCCGGTAGGGCTCCATTGATTTTTAGAGAGAGCAGAAGGGAGGGGGGAAAATGGAAACATCAATGTGAGAGAGACACATTGATTGGTTGCCTCCCGAATGAGCCCCTACCAGGACTCAGGCTTCGGAGGAGCCTGCAACCAAGGTACATGCCCTTGACTGGAACCAACTCAGGACCCTTCAGTCCATGGGCCAATGCTCTATCCACAGAGGCAAACCGGCTAGGGCAGAATTTCCTTCTGAATGACATTCCATGGCATGGATAGCCCCTGTTTTGTCCATCCATGTTCCATCAATGGCCACTTGGGTTGCTCCCACCTTTTGGCTACTGTGAGTGATGCTGCTATGAACACTGGTGCACAAATACAGTGGGGCCTTGACTTACGAGTTTAATTCGTTCCGTGATGGAGCTCGTAACAAATTACTCGTATGTCAAATCAATTTTCACCATTATAATGAATTGAAATGCTGGGCTGATGTTGTGGCGTTCACTGTGACGTTTGCTGCGCCAACTAGTGGTGGGGTATCTGAAGCTGGCTCGTAACCCGAATTTTAGCTCGCAACTCAAAGCAGAAAATCAGCCGAGAGACGGCTCGTATCTCGAAAATCTCGTTAGTCGGGACACTCGTAAGTCAAGGCCCCACTGTATGTGTTTGAGTTCCTGCTTTCAACCCGTTTGGGCAGATACTCAGAGTTGGAATTTCTGGATTATACAATAACGCTATGTTTAATTTTTTGATGAACTGCCAAACTGTTTACCACAGCACCTGCACTATTTTATACCCCCCTCCCCCAAGTAGTACCCGAGGCTTCCAATCAGACTTCCTCTTTAACCAAAGACATGGCAAGAAAAACCATTATTTCACTCATTCACTTCTCCATGGTCATTCCCCCATTCATTCCTGCACTCACCAGGTGTCTTTGGACACCTGTGCGATGGGACATCTGTGGTCTGTGGCCCGCCCCCAGCTGAGTCACAGAGTCAGCTCTGATCTGGGACTTGCAAATGACCACTGCGGTGAGAGCATCAAGACTCCCGCATTTCATTTCCTCATATCCCTATTTCTCCACTCCGCAGGTCACCCTTTTAGACTTAGCAGTGCCAGAGGATGCATTTTCCAGGGAAGGTGCCAGGAAAGGAGAAAAAATGGCTTCTCCGTTCCCTCTCAACCACCAGAATCTATATTTCTCAAAAAGATGAAGAGCTAAGAACAGCAAACAAATAACAAAGAGCCCTTGCTTCTTCATTGATGTGTGAGTCCACCCTGAACCATGAAGCTAAGTAGTCTCAATTGAGCCAAATGCCATAGCAAGATAGCATCTGATGGAGAGATATTTTGCTTCCCCCTAAAAGAATCATCCATTTGTGTCTGTGGATTCTTTTCCATGGATTCACACTATCAAATATGACATTGGGGGGAAATGGTACTTAGCCAAATCGCTTGGGGCAAGGAAACACTACCACACCCATCCCTCCACAAAGCTGACATGTCTTCACCACCCAATGATGTCCTGGTAGCCTGGGGGAGGCCCGTGGAGGAGTTTCCTGGGGCCTGTACCAAAGTTCCACAAACTGGGGGGCTTCAAACAACAAACATTTATCCTGTCATAATTCTGGAGGCCAGAAGTCTGAAATCAAAGAGTGGGCAGGACCGTGCTTACTCCAAGGCTAGAGAGGTGAGACCTGCCTTGTCTCTCCCAGCTTCTGCTGGTGGCAGGCAGTCCTTGGCTCATGGCCACATCACTTGTCTCTGACTCCATTGTCACATGACCTTCTCCTTGTGCATTTGTGCCTTTCCATGGCCTTCTCCCTCTCTATGTGTCTCCTCTCTTCTTCTAAGGACACCAGTCATGTTGCACTAGTCCCCCACCCCCACTCCTGTAGGATCTCATATCACCTTGGCAACACCTGCAAAGACGTGATTTCCAAATAAGGTCCCATCCCTAGGGGTAGGATGTGGACACCTCTTCTGGGGGACACCATTCACTCCATCACAGTTGGAAAGGAAGAGATAGGCCAAGTCCCTCATAGGACCTGGCTGCCCTCTTCCTTCTACCAGGTTGACATGCCGAGTAAGGCTCAGCCATTTATCACTTTACAGTCATGAAGATGTGCTCTGGACTGAAAAGCTCCTGGGAGCTTATGGTCCTAGACAATCTTCTTGATCTCTCACTGCTGACCTTATTTAAATTATTTTCATTGATTTAAGACAGGAAGGGAGAGAGAAATATCAATGATGAGAGAGAATCATTGATCGGCTGCCCCCTGCACACACCCAGGCCCCCTGCACACTTCCTACTGGGGATGAAGTGTGAAACCCTGGGCATGTACCCTGAATGGGAATTGAACCATGACCTCCTGGTTCATAGGTCAACGCTCAACCACTGAGCCACTCTGGCTGGGCTCATTGCTGATCTTTTTGACAATAAAATAAAGGAGAGGGGACATTATATATCTTTAATCCCCATTATTTTTTACAGTAATAGGAAGCCCAAATGAACAACAAGAAAAAAACCACATTTATATCCTGTGTCCAAGTGTCCTTATAAAACAGGGCTGGCATGTCATATATTCCCAGGCAGTGTCACCTACATCCCAATACCTTCCCTTCATCTCTATTCCAATGACAACACATGCGGAAAGCGGAGCTTCCAGCCCCGGCCACATCAGGAAAACACACAGAGTGACACACACTGAGATGACAAGCCCAGAAGCCAGCCCTGGGTCCAGAGCCTGGACGCCAACCCGGTCCTCCAAGGGCTCCCAAAGCCAGTAAGTCCCCAGGGCAGTGTGACAGGCACACAAACAGATCAAGGGGCCTCCTCCTCCTCCTCCTCCTCCTCCTCCCCCTTCCTCCTCCTCCTCCCCCTCCCTCCTCCTCCTCCTCCTCCTCCTCCTCCCCCTTCCTCCTCCTCCTCCCCCTTCCTCCTCCTCCTCCCCCTTCCTCCTCCCCCTCCCTCCTCCTCCTCCTCCTCCCCCTTCCTCCTCCTCCTCCCCCTCCCTCCTCCTCCTCCTCCTCCTCCTCCTCCCCCTTCCTCCTCCTCCTCCCCCTTCCTCCTCCTCCTCCTCCTCCCCCTCCCTCCTCCTCCTCCTCCTCCCCCTTCCTCCTCCTCCTCCTCCCCCTTCCTCCTCCTCCCCCTTCCTCCTCCTCCTCCTCCCCCTCCCTCCTCCTTCTCCTCCTCTTATTCTTATTCTTCTTGCTTTTCTTCCCGCCCCCCCCCCTTTTTTTTTGGTCAAAGGATTTCAAAATAGCAATCACGGTCTGAGATGATTTGGTCCAACCTGCTCAACTTATAAATTGGGAAACTTCGCCCAGCTGATGTGGCTCAGTGATTGAGCGTCGACCTATGAATCAGGAGGTCTCAGTTCAATTCCCAGTCAGGGCACATGCCCAGGTTGTGGGCTCGATCTCCAAGAGGGGGCATGCAGGAGACAGCCAATCAATGATTCTCTCTCATCACTAATGTTTCTCTCTCTCTCTTCCTCTCCCTTCCTCTCTGAAATCAATAAAACACTTTTTTAAAAAAAAGTGGGAAACTGAGTCCCATAGAGAGAAAGCCACTCACTGAAGGGTCCCAGGTTTGATTCCGGTCAAGGGCATACAGGCCAGGTTGCAGGTTCGACCACCAATAGGGGGCGTGCCGGAAGCAGTCAATCAGTGATTCTCTCTCATCATTGGTGTTTCTATCTCTCTCGCCCTCTCGCTTCCTCTCTGAAATCAAAAATATATTTTAAATATATTTTTTTTTAAAGTTACCAGAAACAATTGTGCCATCAAGAACAAAAACCTGGCCTGCCTGTGGTGGCTCAGTGGATTGAGCATTGTCCCATGGACCAAGAGGTCCTGGGTTCGATTCCCAGTCAGAGCACATGCCTGGGTTGCAGGCTCTATTCCCAGTAGGGTGTGCAGGAGGCAGCCAATCAATGAGTCTCTCTCATCATTGATGTTTCTATCTCTCTCACCCTCTTGCTTCCTCTCTGAAATCAATAAAAATATATTTTAAAAAAAGAAAGAAAAGGAAACCTACACCCACAAAACCCCCCACAGAGACTGCATTAGCCCCCGCCACCCAGAGCTTTCTGGGCCATGCTCTCCTGGGTCAGCATGGTAGCTATCATAGGCATGGGGGGATGCTCATTGATTCCTTAGGGAGCTTTACCCAACCATCCCCTTGGCTCTGACCTGCCCTGGACCGGGTGTGGGAAGGGGACACATTGGAACAGGCGTAGTTGGAGAGCCCTCCTGTCCAGAGCAGGGGTTCTGCCTTCTGAGAGCTGAGAGCTGAGAGCAGGCCTCCAGTCAAGTATGTGCATGGGGCAGCTGCCTCCCTGGAGCTGACCCTGAGGAGATGCAAAGAAATGGAAGCTTCTGTCAGGGAATCCCAAAGTGAAACATCCGTCTCTTCCATTCAAATCAAGTCAGTGTTGGCCAAGGGCAGGGCCCTGTCAACACAGCACAGGCAAGGCCTGGGGCACAGAGGGTCGGGGGTGCCTGTGCCCGGTTTCAGGGAAGAAGGGCATGACAGAGGCAAGGTGATTTTTTAAAAAATATTTATTGATTTCAGAGAGGAAGGGAGAGGGAGAGAGAAAAACATCAATGATGAGAGAGAATCATTGATTGGCTGCCTCCTGTACACCCCACACTGGGGATCGAGCCCGCTACCCGGGCATTTGCCCTGACTGGAAATTGAACCGTGACCACCTGGTTCCTAAGTCAACGCTCAACCACTGAGCCACACCAGCCGGACTCGAGTGCTTTTTGAACAGCAGAAGCAGAATGGACTGGCAAGAGCCCTGAAGCTGTCCTCAGAGGCTTGCCGGGCTGGGCCCCTCACCTGCTACCCTCCAAGCCCAGAGTCCCAGCCCTGGGTCCTGAGCCTGGGCGCCGGCCCTGCGCTCCAAGGGCTCCCAATGAAGCTGGGTGTATACATGTGGGAAGGACACAGAAGGGGACACGTACTTGGATCCTTTACCCTGAAGATAAATAGCACAGTCACTTCATAAACTCCAGCAAGCCCCAGTGCCTGGCTGGTCACGAGTGTGTGAGCCCTCCTTGTGCCCCCAACCAGGGAGGAGAGCGCCAAAGCTACCTTGGTGGGCTCCAGGCGCTCTAGCCATCCCCACGCCAGTGGCGCCATAGGGCATGGCAGCCAGTGTCCACAGCCCACACTCCCCTGGTAACAACCTCCCAAAGGAAGGGAAGTGCCTAGGACAGTCCCCCAGACCCTACGCCATCATGTGTTGATAGGATGGTCCCACCAGTGTGCATGGAGCCCAGTGGGGGTTCCCAGGGAGAACAACCCAGGTTGGTCTGCTTCTCTAATGCACCCAAGAGCTGTCCTTCGTGGAGAGATGCCTTTTGAGCCCAGCTGATGTGGCTCAGTGGTTGAGCACCAATCCCTGTCAGGCCACAGGCCCGGGTTGCAGGCTCGATCCCCAGTGTGGTACATGCAGGAGGCAGCTGATCAATGATTATCTCTCATCATTGATGTTTCTCTCTCCCTCTCCCTTCCTCTCTGAAATCAATAAAAATATATTTTAAAAAATCATATCCTCAGGTGATTAAAAAGTTTATTAATGCTTAGAAAAAAGTGTATCACTTCCTACTTATAGTTTAGTCAGATCTGGCGTGTTTTCTTTTGTTTTTTAACCCAAATGATAATCCCTAAGCCCCCTTTCCAAAATGTATGCTCACTGCAGCAAGCAGGACGATTGCCAAGCCCAAGCCCTGTGAATGTCCCAGTGGAGGAGGAGTGATGACACACAGGCTCCTTTAAGACATTGCCATGGCATGGGCATGCGCTGTGCCATCATGCCCTCAGGAGGCGATGCAGAGCCTGCCCCAGGACCATCTCAGGAGCACCTGGGACAATCCCACGTGGACAGCAGAGCACTTGAGGAGAAACCAAGCCAGGACAGCACCCCTAAATGCCCTCGGCAGCACTGGCTCCAAAGCAAAGAAACTCTATGGCTTTGTAATATCTTTTATTAAACAAAATAAAATTTCCTCTATGTTCATTCATACTTTCTCTAAATCTGGCCTTTAAAAAAATCCCCTGGGGCACAGTCCCATCCGTTCTTTGATTTTCCTTCCACTGATCCCAAACCTCGGCTGTAGTCTGCGTCCTTTCAAAGGACAAAAGCAGACCCGGAGGCCTCAGAGCCGCCCGCAGCACGCTCCTGCCCGCGGGAGGTGCAGCTCCCGTCACCATCTGGACCATGGCTGCCAGGGACAGTCAAAGCCTGAGAATCAAAGTGGCAGCATGTCAGCGCCTTCACCGGCCCTTCTCCAGCAGCACAAAACCAGTCCTCCCAGCCAGTCCTCTGGGGACCGGCGGTCACGGCGATGTGGTGGCGCCGTCCCCTGGCAGCCGAGCGTCCCAGGCTTCTCTTTGGACAGGCCTGGACCAGGGCCTTAGGGGATCTCTGTGTCCATGGTATAAATCTGAATGAGATCAGACACAATGTTATCAATGATTGGCTTGGTAAGGTCGTCACTAAACACCTAGAAAGGAGAAGGAAAACAGGTTCCGATTAGACTCCCTCTGTGTTAACCGAGGCTCCCGCTGCTAAGTGTCGACTCGCATTGCATGGGGGGACGGCACGAGGACTTGCTATTGGAGGTGACGGAGGCTCTCTGCAAAGCCAGTTCAGTCCCCACCTACCCAGGTTGATCACAAAGCAGAGAACATTCCAGATGGAAAAGGCCTGGGTGATCACCTGGCTCAGACAGGAGAGGGGGCTTGTCCCAGGTTACATAGGCAGTTGGTCATAGAGCTGGGCCCAGAGCACGGGCTCCTGCCTCCCCACCATCCCTGCCCGGGCCCTCTTAGGTCGGTCTCTGGGGATCTTAAGAGAGAAAGGGGTGGGAGTCCATTTCCAGAAATAAGCAGGCAGGGTCACCTGGACTCCACTCCAACCTAGGCTGGCCCCTTCTCCATAGGGTGGACCAGGCATCCCCTTGACTGTGCCGGAGAGGTGACAAAATTGTAAGACAAGTCCCCAGGGGGCCAAATCAAGGGTGGGGTGCAGCTCAGGGCTGACCCTGCATGTTTCCAGGGAAGTTCTGGCCCTCAGATCCTGGGAGGGACCTCTAGGTACCTGGCAGCACTGCCTGAGGAGGAGGCCTTGGTTTGCCTGGGCGCGCGCTCTGCAGGTAGTCTCTACTGACAGTGCTGTCTGAGGGGGGGTTGGGCCCAACATACGACCTTGGCCTCCAGGGGCTGGAGCCTGAGACCGAGGTCAGCCACGTGGGCGCCCCAGGCCTGCGGGACCCACTCTCAGGGAAGTCCCTGCACACCGCGGCCAGGGATGCTTTCCTGGTGGCAGCGCCCGTGCATGTTGGCACATCAGTGCCGGGGCCTGGAAGCTGCGCCAGGTCTCTCCTGCACCTGCCCTATGTAGACTCATTTTAGTTTTGCTTGGCAGGGTCCACTACCTGTGTGCTCCCAGAGACCTCAAGCAAAGAAGTGGCCTTTAAAAAGTAGTCCATGCCCGGCTGGTGTGGCTCAGTGGATGAGCATCGACCTATGAACCAGGAGGTCACAGCTGATTCCCCGTCAGGGCACATGCTCGGGTTTCAAGCTCTATTCCCAGTGTGGGGCATGTAGGAGGCAGCCCATCAATGATTCTTTCTTATCATTGATGTTTCTATCTCTATCTCTATCTCTATCTCCCCCTCTCCCTTCCTCTTTGAAATCAATAAAAATATATTTTTTAAAGTAGTCCAGGGCCAAAGACAAGAGGACTCTTTGAGACATTGAGACTTTCTACAACAAGCATGCCAAACTCGCGGCCCCCAGGCCGCACACGGCCCACAACGAATATTTGTGCGGCCCAGCCAATGTAAAGGTATGTAAGAAAGGTTTTAATAAAAATTTCATAACTTCATTTTTAGAATATCCTGTTATACACAATTATTAATAACGAACTACAACGTTCACTAATGACTGAGTACTATAATCCTGTTGCATTCATTTCCCTTATGTGCCTTATACACAGGCGCACCATTTCTCTCCACTAATGCTAGCAGCGAATATTTTAGCAGCCGATGGCCACATCATTGGTCTTGTACTGACCTGTTTGCTGTGAGTAACAGGAAATATTTCGCTTTCGGAGAACAAGAAAAATAGGTTTATTTGCATTACACTTATTAATCTGTGCAGTTATTCAGTGTCTGGTAAGGTAATGTTCAAGAAAAAATATTACTTTTTATTAAAATGTTCTATTATTTTACATTAACGATGACATTGATTTCAGCCCTTTGTGTTCAGCATGTCTCTATCAACATAAACCTACGTTTCTATGAAAATTGAAGCTTTTGCTGTTTTGCAGTCCACATAAGCTTAAACCCTGTTTATTTGGCCCATGTTAGCCTTTGAGTTTGACTTGCTCGTTCTACACCTCCATCGAGGAGATGCCCCCCAATGCTGCTGACCTCATTGGAGAGGGGCTGGCCTGCTATCTCATCCCAGCCAGTGTTCTCCGTCCTTGGCAGGCTGAGGAGGAGCAGGAGCGGGGAGGGAAGGGAGCCCAGGGATAGACATCTTGTCATTTCTTTTCTTTTTCTTTTCTTTCCCCTTTGAATAAATAACACTTTTTGAGGCAAAAAATAAAATAAAATAAAATAAAATAAAATAAAGTAGTCCACGGCCAAAAGCTGGAAGCCACCCAAGCGCCCCTCCATGGAAGGCTAGACAAACACAATGTGGTCCACCCAGACCATGGCCTAGTATGCAGCCTTAAAGAGGGCAGAAACTGACACATACTCCAACACACTACTGATTTGGAGGCGGTGTCTCACGGACCCAGAGGCTGGACCCGGCCTAGCGCAGAGGCCAGCAGCCGCAGGCACAGTCCAGCGCAGGCTTCTGGTGGGCAAGTGCATCAAGCTTGGCTAAATCTCCTGACTGCACGGCGGAGCCCCAGCCCCCAGCAGACAAGTGACAACAGAGAGGCGGTTGCTGCAAACAGTGGCGGCGGAGAGCATGCGAGCAGAGAAAGTGTTTACAGATCAGACATGGGTGTCAGGACGGGGCAGGCAGGCGCCATGGGGAGCTGGCGCTCACAGCTCGCCGAGTCCACAGGGTGCCCAGGACGCACACAGTGCACCGGGCCCAGAATCATCCAGAAAAGGTGAGGAGTTGGGTGAACCTGAGCGCCACACCTCGAAGAAGCCGCTTCTTCCCAGTTGTAACAATTACTGGTTAAGTCTGTGGTGCCCAGAACACAGGGTCCTAGTGGAGCCGCTTCCCGGCGCCTTTCTCTCGCAAGAGCCTAGAGCGTGAAGCGAGTCTGAAGCAGAGGCAGTAGGAATAGTGACGTCCAGGGACGGCCAGGAGCAAGTGAAGAGGAAGGAGCGCAGGAAGGCAGACACAGGAGAGACACAGGGACAGTGGAAACCAGTGACGACATTGCAGATCCAAGCAGCTGAGGGACTGGGGCCTCTGTGCCCACCAGGTGCCCCGAGAAAACAGGGCCAGGGACTAACAGGTCCTCTGCCACCACCTGATTGCAACAGAGCAGGGACACTGCAGGCACGGGATCTGGGAGCCCCGTGAAGCCAATGCGTGGAGCAATACTTTCTGTGCATACAGATGCCCTTCCATCGCCATGCTATGCGGGTGCATCTGGCCCAAGGTGGGGTTATGGATGCATTTGTTTAGCCATGTGATCACCTACTATGTGCCAGGTCCAGGCACTGGACGCGAGGCAGTTGATAAAGCAGACAAGACCCCTGGCCTCCAGGCACTTATAGTCTGTCAAGGGGTGGTGGGGGGAATTCCACAGACAATAAAGGCCAGCAGAGCAGAGAAGGAAAAACTGTGGACTCCCATGGAGGGCAAGCAGACCGCGGGGAGGGAGTGTCAGGAAGGGGGAGGCCCCATGTAAGCCAAGAGCTGCAAGAGGGGAGCGGTGGGGGGAGGGGGGAGAGGTAGTGAGGAGCTGGCCCAGGACGGCACCCATGGGGCACACTCCCTTATGGGAAATTGATAACCGATGACACATTTAGAAGACTTCTGGCCACTGTGGGTTTGTGCAGGAGGGGGGTACGCCAAAAGGGGACACTTTAAGTTACGTCAAATTCTGCTTACGTAGAACCTCATTCTAATCCAGCCGTGGGCAAACTACGGCCCGGATCCGGCCCGTTTGAAATGAATAAAACTAAAAAAAAAAAGACCGTACCCTTTTATGTAATGATGTTTACTTTGAATGTATATGAGTTCACACAAACACTCCATCCATGCTTTTGTTCCGGCCCTCCGGTCCAGGTTAAGAACCCATTGTGGCCCTCGAGTCAAAAAGTTTGCCCACCCCTGGTCTAGACCAAGCATGTCAAACTCGCAGCTGCCACATGCAGCCCACAATGAATATTTTTGCAGCCCAGCCAATATAATGGTATGTAAGAAACGTTTTAATAAAGATTTCATAACTTCATTTTTACAATATCCTGTTATACATAACTAGAGGCCTGATGCACGAAATTAGTGCAAGGGGCTCGGCCCTTGAAGCCCCAGCTTTGTCTGGAAGGATGTCAGTCTAATTAGTATATTATGCTTTTATTATGATAGATTATTAATAATGAACTATAACTCTCGCTAATGACTGATTACTATCATCATGTGGCATTCATTTCCCTTATGCATATTACGCACAGGCGCACCATTTCTCTCCGCTAATACTAGCCCTGAATATTTTAGTAGTCGATTATGACGTCATTAGTCTTGGACTGACTTGTTTGGTGTGCACAACAGGAAATATTTTGCTTTCAGAGAACAAGAAAAATAGATTTAGTTGTGTGATGCTTATTAATTTGGGCAGTTATTCAGTGCCTGGTAAGTTAATGTTCAAGAAAAAATATTAATTTTTATTAAAATGTTCTATTACAGCCGAACTGGTTTGGCTCAGTGGATAGAGCGTCGGCCTGCGGACTGAAGGGTCCCAGGTTCGATTCCGGTCAAGGGCATGTACCTGGGTTGCGGGAACATCCCCTGTAAGGGGCATGCAGGAGGCAGCTGATCGATTTCTCTCATTGATGTTTCTAACTCTCTATCCCTCTCCCTTCTTCTCTGTAAAAAATCAATAAAATATATTTTAAAAATAAAATAAAATAAAATGTTCTATTACTTTATGTGAACGATGACTCATTTATTTCAGCCCTTTGTATTCAGCATGTCTCTACTGAAATAAACCTACGTTTCTATGAAAATTGAAGCTTTTGTGTTTTTGTGGCCACATAAACTTAAACCTTGTTTATTTGGCCCGTGTTAGCCTTTGAGTTTGACATGCTTGTTTTAGACCAAGGCTAGACAATGAGGTGTTAGGAAGAGAGGAGCATCAGACTTCAAGTATGGAAAAGAAAAAAAAAAACACACAGAAAATGGTCTGAAAATCCCATTCCAAAATAAGGGGACCACCCGGGGGAAATTTGACAGAGGGCAGAAGTCCTTGAGTACAGCCCTTCTGACGGACAGATGTCACCTTGCTCTCTACAAATGTCACTTTGAATTCTGCAGGTCTAGGGGAGGCAGGGGAACCTACCCACCATCCTCTCCTCTCTCTCTACCTGTCTATCATCTAGCCAATCTAATTCACCCATCCATCCATCTAGCTAGCTCTCTACCTATCTACCACTAAAGCTATCACCTATCATTCATCCATCTAATCTATCCATCTATCCATCTTCTAGCTAGCTATCTTTCTCCAGCATCTATCTACCTACCCATCATCCATCCATCTTTTTAGAGCAGCGGTCGCCAGCCTTTCAGACCTCACGGACCACCAGTTGGCGACTGCTGTTTTAGAGCACCCCCCCATACTTCTGATGCGAAGCCAAGTTTATTAACCTCTGACCTATGACACAAGCTTCCACTCCATTCACTAAAAGTGCTTGACTGAGCTCAGTAATTCTCAACTGGGGGGACCCCTAGCCTGGGACACTTAGCAATATCTAGAGACATCTTTGGTTGCTATGACTAGTGGGGAGATGCCCCTGGCTCTGAGTGGGCAGAGGCCAGCGATGCTGCTCAATATCCTAGTGCCCAGGATGCCTCAGCACAGAGAATGGTCCAGCCCCAGACGCCCACAGTGCCAAGGGGAGCGTCCCTGCCTTCGACTTAGAAATGACAGGGCATTTGCAAGCTTCAATGTTCCCAAGTGGCCCACATCTCTCTGCTGGATCATCGCTACAAAGACACAGGGACTTCTAAAGGAAAGGGGGACACATGCCCGTGCACTGAGCAGTCACCTCACCTGCCACCATGGCTTCTCGGCCTCGGCCTCGGCGGGCACCTGGACCCCATAGACCTGCAGGGCCAGGTGGAGCACCGCCACCGCTATGTGCTGAGCCTGGAACCGGACGCACAGCCCCCCGTGGTAGCTGTCCCGCAGCAGGGCCCAGGCAGTGACGGAGATGGGGGTCCGTTGCCAGCTGTAACGATTCAGCCAGTTCTTGAGAGAAATCAGGTAGTGGAGCAGGTACTGCAAAGACACGCCAGTCAGCCTCTTGGCTCGCAGGGCTCTGGCCCCCAGTCACCCGCCTCCTCACTGTGGGGCATTGCGCTTCCTCTGCCCGCCAGCCACTCTCCCGGAAGCTGTCTCGATGCATATAAAATACAGATGGGCCAGAGTCACCTCCTGATCAAACCTTCCAGTGGTGCTCTGTCACTTAGAATAAAGCCCCAGTGCCTTCCGCTGGCATCCGAGCCCGGCCTCCCTCTCGGCCTCGTTGCCCGCACCCCACCTTCCTGCTATGTTTGACCACCAGGGGCCTCCACCTCAGGGCCCTGACATCTGCTGCTCCCTCAGCCTGAGATCATCTCCACTCCTGTCCCAGTCCCCACGTGCCCACCCACCATTGTCCCCCAGGCCCCGCTCCCAAAACCTGCCTGGACCACTCTTAATGGCCACCCCCGCGAAATTCCTCTCCATCGCATGGCCCTGCTCTGGCCACCGTCAGCATCACTGCCCCCCCCATCCCCCCCTCAAACATAAGCCCCGGAGACAGCACCCTCATCTACAGAACAGAGCATGGCGCCCATGTGCCCAGACGAGACAGGACCCTGCTTTCGGGGGAACTGGAGACAGATGACTGCATTTTGCAACAGCGCCCATGGCTGTGACCTCTTTGTCAATGAACTTCTAACTCAGTTATGTCAGCTCCCACCCTGGGGAGACGGCTGCTTTGCCTGAACCTCCTGCTCAACTGAACACACTAGTAAGCCTTGCCCCCCACATGCGTGGGGCTCCAGCACACCTGGAAGAGGGGCCTCACCCACCACTTCCCTGACCCCTATGGAAGGGAAAGACACAGCTCGCTCGCAGGTCACACTGGCCCCCTCCCAGTGGGTGCCATTCTTCCCGGGACTCTGCCCTCTGACTGCCTGGCAGAGCCAGGGGCCCTCCTGCCTTGCCCCTGCATCGAGCCGGCGCCAGGAAAACGCAACTTTCAAAATTGCCGCCAGGGGTTTCCAGGAGTAGGTTGGTGGTGTGGAAGGGAGGGGGCAACACGAGGGATCCTTGAGGTGATAAGAGTTATTTTGTATCTAACTGGGGTGGTGGATACATGACACACGAGCATAAATTATATTGTATGGCACCAGCGCAGTACAAGTAACCAGGTAACACCAGGAACCAGGGCACTGTAGCAGTGCCCACACTCCGGCTGCTACATTGTATTCATTTTACAAAATGTTTCCATTCAGCGAGACTGGGCAAAGTGTCTATCTTAAACGGGGTGTCTCTGCGTTATTTCCAACTGCTTATATATCTACACTTACCTCAATAAAAATTCAATTGCAAAGAAACAAAATCCTGGCACAGAGCCCCACAATCCCCCCCCCCCCCCAGTCCGCGCCCAATGTCCAAGTGCTTTAAGGGTTTAATGTGATCCTTTTGCTGCTGTTTGAAACCGTTCTTCTGTTGGGATTTATTTGTTCTAGTAGTCAAAAGTGTGCCGATATGCACAGTAGTTAGAGCGTTGGCCCTCACACTGAAGGATCCTGGGTTTCATTCCCAGTCAAGGGCATGTACCTCGGTTGCAGGTTCGATCCCTGGCAGTTGGGGCGCATGTGGGAGGCAACCAATCGATGTGACACTCTTACATCAATGTTTCTCTCCCTCTCTCTGTCTCTCTCTTCCTTCCTCTCTCTAAAAATCAATTTTTTAAAAAACTGAACTGGATGCAAACTCCAAGGCAGAGCAGCAGCTCTTGGGGACAGGAACTCTAGCAGATCACAAACCAGCCCTGTTTCATGTGGCTCGCTGAGCGCACAGTATATGTGGGTCACGGGATCGTCAAGGGCTTCAGAGGACAGCCCGGATCCCGGCTCGTGGCCACAGCTGAGCAGGCAGAAAGGCAGAACCTCAGAAAACTCCACAAGTGGGACAGGAGAGGCTGCCTGAGCCAGTCACTGCATGCCATCGGGAGCCCCGGTGCCCAGCTGTGACCCTGCCCTTCTAACGTCCCCCATGTGCTCTCAAGGATTCGATGGGTGCACTTCCGGTATGAAGAACGAAGAGGTCCGTACCTTGTGTGGGTGCTGAAAGGAGACTTGGAAGCGCAGTACCCGCAGCACAAGGAGCTCGCACTGCACAATGCTGTCCCGGATCACCCAGAATCGGGAGTCCAGCTCCAAGGGCTCGCTGCCTGGGTGGAAGTACCTGTGGAGAAACGGCGATGCTTACAGCAGCCACGGACGTGGCCCTGAGCAGCCCCTGAAGTCACGTGATGTCCAGATCTAAACTCCAATATCCTTCTGCAGTATGATTAACATAGTGTCATTCGCCCTAGCATGTTTGGCTTGGTGGACAGAGCATCGGCCTGCGGACTGAAGAGTCTCAGGTTCAATTCTGGTCAAGGGTACATGCCCGGATTGCAGGCTCGATCCCTGTGGTGGGCATGCAGGAGGCAGCCAACCAATGATTCTCTCTCATCATTGATGTTTCTATCTCTCTCTCCCTCTTCCTTCCGCTCTAAAATCAATAAAAATATTTTTTAAAAATAAATAAATAAAATTTATTAAAAAAACAAACATAGTGTCATTCTACTTCTGTTTTGTTGTTTGTTGTTGTTTTCATCTTCACCAAGAATAGTTTTCCATTGATTTTTGGAGAGAATGGAAGAGAGAGGGAAAGACAGAGAGAAACATTGATGTGAGAGTTACACATCGATTTGTTGCCTCCTGCATGTGCCCCAACCAGGGCCCAGGCCGGGGAGGAGCCTGCAACTGAGGTATGTGCCCTTGACCGGAATCAAACCCAGGACCGTTGGGTCTGCTTTATCCATTGAGCCAAACTAGCTAGGACTACTTCTGTTTTTATAAATTGTTTTTCATATACATGTCTAGTGTACAGGATAAAAACAGTAACCAATGGAAGAGAGAAGCCAACTTCTACTTTTAGTCCTGATGGGCTGTCCCATATTGCCCAGCAAGATGTCAAGTATAAAGGTGAGCCCTAGCTGGTTTGGCTCAGTGTATAGAGTGTTGGCCTGTGGACTGAAGGGTCCCGGGTTCAATTCCAGTCAAGGGCACATGACTGGGTTGCAGGCTCAATCCCCTGTAGGGGGTATGCAGGAGGCAGCTGATCAATGATTCTCTCTCATCATTGATGTTTCTCTCTCCCTCTCCCTTCTTCTCTGAAATCAATAAAAAAATATTTTTTAAAGAAGTATAAAGGCAGGCTCTCTGGCCCTAGCCGGTTTTGCTCAGTGGATAGAGCGTTGGCCTGCGGACTGCAGGGTCCCAGGTTCAATTCTGGTCACGGGCACATACCTCAGCTGCAGGCTTGATCCCCAGCCCTGGTTGGAGCACCTGTGGGAGGCAACCAATCAATGTGTCTCTGTCATATCGATGTTTCTCTCTCTCTCTCTCTCTCTCTCCCCCCCCTTCCACTCTCTAAAAACAACTAAAAACCTCTCTGCCGATGACTCATCCTTCCTAGCTCCTCACTCATTTTCCAGCTCCCACAGAACCCCACCTGAGCCCCATGTCCAATTAGCGATCAATACAATTTCCCCTCTTGCCAGTGCTCCCTGCTGGCGGCCCGGCAATTATGGGTGGACTCCTGCCGCCCTCCCTCACTGCCCTCTCCTGTTTTCCTCTTAGTCTTTTGAGGTACACTGTGAACCTGCCGTGCTTTTAGTAGGTGGGGAGTGCTTTTTTCTCTAACCTGTTTATTAAAAGAGAAACAGCACAGAACAGTTTTCTTCCCTAATGATTAGAGTTCCTGGACCTGCGATGAGGCTCCGCTAGTCAGTAACTTTCCATAAATCACTTTCTCCTGGGCCCTGAGGGCCTCGATGCAGCCCACCCGCTGGCTGGACCCTACATCCTTCCCCTACAGCAGGGGGTGAGGAACCTTTTTTTTGCCAAGGGCCATGTGGATATTTATAACATTATTCACAGACCATACAAAATGATCCACTTAAAAATTAGCCTGCTTTAGCCCTAGCCAGTTTGGTTCAGTGGCTAGAGCATTGGCCTGCAGACTGAAGGGTCCTGGGTTCAATTCCGGTCAAGGGCACATGTCCGGGTTGTCAGCTTGATCCCCAGTGCAGGGCGTGCAGGAGGCAGCCAATCAATGATTCTCTCTCATCACTGATGTTTCTATCTGTCTCTCCCTCTCCCTTCCTCTCTGAAATCAATAAAAATATATATTTTTTTAAAAAATGAGCCTGCTTTATTTGGTCAATCATTTAATTAACTCACCCCTAATGCCTTGGAAGGGCCAGACCAAATGATTTTGCAGGCCTTATATGGCCCGCAGGCCGGATGTTCCCCACCCCTGCCCTACAGGAACACAGTTGCTTGGGCCCATAGGTGATGCCCACACCAGGGCCAGAGCTGGGCTCCTTAGCAGCTCTGACTGGTTTCTCTCACCTCCTACACCAGTGGTTCTCAACCTTGGCTACATATTAGAATCACCTGGGAATCTTTTTAAAATCCTGATTTCTGGGCCCCACCCCATAACAAAGAAACAGAATTTCCGGAGGATGAGGGAGCTTAGAGAGATGTGTTGGACAGGAAAGACTGAACTAGTTGGATTCTGTGGGCCCCACAGGTCAGCCCATCATACAGGGGAGTATATGGACCACGCCTCCCTGCTCCCTCCATGCCATGCCTCCCTCGCCTCCCTCACCCCAACACCCGGACTTCTTCATAACAACCCTCCCCCACTCCATCTGGCCTTTGAGGCTTCCCATTATCTAGTCCAACTTCTTCCCCACAGACCCTCTCCAGGCTTCTGACACCAGCTCATTCCCACTTTCCCACTTTTTTTATATATATATTGACTTCAGAGAGCAAGAGAGAGGGAGAGAGAGCTAGAAACATCAATCATGAGAGAGAATCATTGATCGGCTGCCTCCTGCATGCCCCCGCCCCCCGCCCCACAGGGATAGGGCCCACAATATCTGGGCACGTGCCCCAACAGGGAATCGAACTGTGGCCTCCTGGTTCATAAGTCAATGCTCAATGCTCAACCACAGAGTCACGCCGGCCGGGCTCATTGCCACCTTTGCTGCTGGTACTTCCAGCCCTGGTTCAAGGCCACCCAAGTGCTTCCTTCAAAGCTTGACTGCTAGTGCCTGGGAGGCAGGGCACAGTGGGACCTCCTCTGTCCTCCCCATGGGGTGGACACCAGGAAGTGTCCCCCAAGGCCTGGGCCCGGAAGCTGTCACCTGTTGGACACGTTGATGATGTCACGGGTTCGCAGGGGCTGTTCTTCCACTTTGCCAGCCAAGTAAAGGGCAGACATGGCGACCAAGTAGGGGTCATAGGCGTCCACGTTGATCTCGCAGAAGAACTTATGGTAAATGGCACAGGCGGTGGCGACGGGAATGGACTGCATCCCTAGCTTGACACCTACCAAGAGAAAATAGGCAGGAGATACCTCAACCCAGAGCCCTCCCCCTCCTCCAGGGTGAGGGGCGCTGCTGGGTTGCGCCCTAAGGCACAGACCTGCTGGGACAAGACCAAGATCTTGGAGCCCAGCCAGCAGTGACTGGGTCTTTCACGGAGTCCTCGGCCTGAGGGGCTTAGAGAGAGCCTTCCCAGACTCTAATGGCCTAACGGGCCCCTAGGGCTTGTGCTCAAAGCTCCAGTAACTCAGCAGATCCTGCTCTTGTCCCATGCCCCCAGGACACCCCCAGCTTCCGCTCTGCAGACCACACCGGTGAAGCAATGAGACTACAGCTCAGTCAGCTCCTGGCATCGCAGCTTCTGCACATCCTGAAAGGACCACTCCACTGTTGTATGTGTGTTGCCAGCAAGTGCTTAACTAGAGATCAGCACCGCTCCCTCAGCTCCGCTAACCAAACTCCTCTGAGCATCAGACAGATATCACAGTCCTGAGGTGACCAGTCCTGGGGTTTGTTAACCAACGTCACCCCAATAAATGCACTCAATCAATCAGTGTAAACATTAGACTCAGGCCCTGGCCGGTGTGGATCGGTTGGTGGGAGCATCATCCACACACCAGAAGGTGGGGAGTTCAATTCCCAGTCAGGGCACATCCCCAGGGAGCAGGTTCCATCCTTCCCCAGTCGGGATGTGTGCAGAAGGCAACCAATTGCTGTTTCTCACATTGATGTTTCTTTTTCTCTCTCTATCTATATCTCTATCACTATCTCTTTCTGTCTCTCCCTTCCTTTCTCTCTAAAAAATCAATTTAAACCCCCCCCCCATGCAAAAGATTATACTTGTCCAGCCAGTGTGGCTCAGTGGTTGAGCATTGACCTATGAACCAGGAAGTCACAGTTCAATTCCCAGTCAGGGCACATGCCCAGGTTGAGAGCTCGATCCTCCGTGTGGTGCGTGCAGAAGGCAGCTGATCAATGGTTCACTCTCATCATTGATGTTTCTCTCTCTCCCTCTCTCCCTTTCCCTTCCTCTCTTAAGTCAATAAAATATGTTTGTTTGTTTGTTTGTTTTAAAAACAGGTCTTATTCAGCACTGGTTTCCTAGTCTGCAGGTTAGAAAAGGCAAGCAGAGTGCCCGCCAAAGGCAACTGCAGGCAGAGCAGGAAAAAAGCCACAGCCAGGCCCAGGCAGGAAAACTGACAAGGGAACAGAACTCAAAAAAAAGAGCACAGCTGCCTGGGCCGGTGTGGCTCAGTTGGTTGAGCGTCGTCCCGTGCACCAAAAGGCTGCTGGTTCGATTCCCGTCAGGGCACATGCCTGGTTTCGGGCTTGATCCCAGGAAGGGGATGGGCAGCAGGCAGCTGATGGATGCTCGGCTCTCACATCGATGTTTCTCCTTCTCTCTCCCTCTCCCTTCCTCTCTCTCTCTAAAACAAACAAACAAAAACATAACAAGGTGGTTTGCTTTACGGGTTAAAGCTCTCCCTCTACTCCACCCCTAGAACTTCTAAGGCAGTGATGGCGAACCCATGACAAGCGTGTCAGAGGTGACACGCGAACTCATTTTTTTGGTTGATTTTTCTTTGTTAAATGGCATTTAAATATATAAAATAAATATCAAAAATATAAGTCTTTGTTTTACTATGGTTGCAAATATCAAAAAATTTCTATACGTGACACGGCACCAGAGTTAAGTTAGGGTTTTTCAAAATGCTGACACGCCGAGCTCAAAAGGTTCGCCATCACTGTTCTAAGGAAATCACTGCGATGGGTCAGAGAACCAAAACCAATGACCAGGATTAACAAGAGAAGGTTAAATGGCATCCAATAAATTGAAAGACGGTGGACAACCACCAACAATCATTGCGATCACCTTCAACATCCTCTGCCTGAGAAACTGTATCAGTTCCCTAGGGCTACTTTTAACAAATTACCACAAACTCAGTGGCTTAAAACAACACACTTTTTTTTCCTCTCACAATCCCGGTGGTCAGAAGTCCAAAATGAGTCTTGGGGTGTGGGCAGAGCTCAGGAGATCTATCTCAGTGCTGCGGCCGAAGCAACGCTGTGAGCACACTCCAGCGAACAGGTTTCCTTGGCACACCAGGAAGTGGCAACGCCCGCCTGACAAATCTCCAAGAGCCACCTACTCTTAGCCCCGACCCTCACGCCCATTGGATAACATAGCAAGTGTGTCCCTGTTCTATTGGCTGCTTACCCCTTTATATACGGCTGTACTTCCTTAATAAACTTAGATCTGTGTCTCTGAACCTGGTCTCCGGAGTCATGCATGCAAGCGCCCTAGCGCATTGGGGCTCCGTTGTCCTCACCCCCGAGGGACCCCCTGTTCTAATGGGGGGCTAAGCTCAAGGTGCTTGGCAGGACTGGTTCATCCTGGAGGCTCCAGGGGAGTATGTTTCCTTGCCCTTTCCAGCTTCTGGTCACACTTGCAGTCTTTGGCTCGTGGCCCCGTCCACTATCTTCAAAACAGGCAGTGTAGCATCTTCTAACTCTGCTTCCATCATCACATGGCCTTCTCTTCTGCCCGTCCCTCCCCTGCCTCTTTCTTTGAGGATGGGTGTGATTCTATCAGGCCCATCAGATACTCTAGGACAGTGGTTCTCAACCTTGGCTGCACATTAGAATCACCTGGGAATCTTTTTAAAATCCTGATTTCTGGGCCTCATCCTCCGGAAATTCTGTTTCTTTGTTACTAATGTTGTGGCCCCACCCCATAACAAAGAAACAGAATTTCCGGAGGATGAGGCCCAGAAATCAGGATTTTAAAAAGATTCCCAGGTGATTCTAATGTGCAGCCAAGGTTGAGAACCACTGCTCTAGGTCAGAGTCTAGGTCTAGGATAATTCCCCCAGCGCAGCGGTTCTCAACCTGGGGGTCGAACGACCCTTTCACAGAGGTCACCTAAGACCATCGGAAAACACATATATAATTACATATTGTTTTTGTGATTAATCGCTATGCTTTAATTATGTTCAATTTGTAACAATGAAATTGGGAGTCACCACAACATGAGGAACTGTATTAAAGGGTCGCAGCATTAGGAAGGTTGAGAACCACTGCCCCAGCGCAAGATGCTTAAGTCCACCTGTCAACTCTCTTTTGCTACATAAGGTAACAATCGCAGGTTCCGGGGCTGAGAATGGGAACATCTCCGCAGGACCAGTATTCAGCTTCGCACAGAAGGCAAAGGCATAGACAATACGTTTTAATAGAGAAGTCCTTTTAAAGTGATACCTAAAGAGCTTTAAGTATTTCAAGATTTAAACTTCAGCCCGGCCAGCATGTGGCTTAGTGGTTGAGTGTCGATCAGGAGGTCACGGTTCGATTCCCAGTCAGGACACATGCCCGGGTTGCGGGCTCGATCCCTAGTGTGGGGCGTGCAGGAGGCAGCTGATCGATGATTCTCTCTCATCACTGATGTTTCTATTTCTCTATTTCTCTCTCTCTCTCTCTCTCTCTCTCTCTCTCTCCCTTCCTCTCTCAATTCAATATATATATATATATATATGATTTAAACTTCAGTTGCTACATGGGGCCCCTTATTCCCAGAGATGTCAATACGGTGGTATTGCTGCATCTGACCTTCCACCAAGTCTTGTTTTATGCAGTCAACTCTCGAAGGGCAGCTTGCTCTCCTGGTTTACATGGATGCTGGGGTCCAACCCCAACAGGTCCAGGGGTCCCCAAAGGTGTGGACGGAGTTGGCGAAGAAGGAATGACATGGAGACAGCATTCAGCTGATCAGCAACCCAGCCAGGATCTCTAGCCAGGACCTCCAGCCAAGTTCCGTTCAGGATCTCCAGCGAAGCTCTGCTGTTTATTGTCTTGTTACATCCGTATTTATACCAGTTGATTCCAATCCTGTCAATTTCTATTGCAAAGGTTAGGGCGTTTCTTATCTCCATTCCAGGGAGTAAAGATTATGTAGTTTAAGCGTTATTGTTTGTAGTTAAAGTGATTAACTACCCGCCTGGCACTTAGTTAAGGAGTTTCATCCCCTCCCTGACTTCAGGGAAAAATCCCTACCTGGGGAAACAACCTTTCTCGGAGAGGTGACCTTGGTTAAAACAGCGCTAAGGGGAGCAAACATATTAAGAACAGTATGCTATATATGCCAGGTCCCTTGAAACAGCAAGGATGGACCGGCTCCCGGCACATGGACCCTCTGAGTAGACGAATAGAGCATTTGAGGGGACACTGCCACCCTTCCTGCTACACTTTGCAACTCTTCTTAGAAATATTATGGTTCTGCATCATTGCCACACACTGCCCGCCTTGACTTGAGACTCATCCAACGCCCCTCCCTCAAAGTGCATACAAAGTAACAAACGTAGAAAGCAACCGTCTGCCAGCTGATTAAGATACTTTTGACAGCTGAACAACGTCTCTCCAGGAATCCCATTGTTTCCTTGCCTAACTTGGACTCAGGGGCGCCCGGTGTGACAGGACCTCTCTAACAAGGCTTGTCACGAGCCTCTGCAAGCACGTGCTCAAAAGGCTCGGTGCAACCAAGTGCCATGCAGTGTCCCTGTGCTGCGGGACAGGAGTGGCAAAAGGCACAATGCACTCAACTAGCTGCAGGCACCCCGACTCGGCCACCTTCTAGCTGGGGCCAGTTCCTCTCTTTTGGGCCTGAGCGCAGGGTGGTGAAATGACAATGCCCGCGTCTGCCCTGTAACTCAAAGCCTAGTACCCAGGGCGTGGCGGAAGGCAGAGGCCCGGTTCAGGCCCGATCTCTTCCCTCTGCCCAGCCACGCGGACTCCGCGTGGTGAGGGTCCCCTCCTCCGGGAACCGGGGCCCCGCAACGCTGGCCTCGACCCGCAGACCCTGGCCTCCACGTCCCGCCCGCGCGGGACTGACTCTCTTCCTGGCCACGGTTACCTGCCTCCATGATGAACCTTGTCACGCGGAAGTGCACCCTCGCCTGGGGTGCGGGCCACCCCTTGGTGCCCGGCGCCGCGTCCTCCTCTCCGCAGCTGTCCAGGCTAAGGTCCTCCATGGGGCCCCGCCCGGAGGCCCCAGACCCCCGGCGGGAAGGGCTACGGTCCCCAGCGCGTGGCCGCCGCTGGCGGGGGTCCTAGCGCCGGGCGCGGCCGCCCTGCCCCGCCCGGCGGCCCCACCTGCCCCGCCCCGCCCGGGCCGGCCCGCCACCCGGGTTCCCCCCCCTCCGGGGGCGAGCGCGCGGCGGCGCGCAGAAGGCGGGAGGAGGAGCGGGCGCAGGCTCTGGCCCCGGCAGGCGCAGGCGCAGAGGCCGCTGCAGCCTGACCGCTCGCACCCGTGCCTGCCCACCGCGCCCCCGAGCCCCGCCCCCGAGAGCCTTAGGTCCGCCCCCCGGAATACGCAGGTCCCGCCTCCCGGAGGACGTCACGCCCTGGGACCCCGCACGCTCCGCCCTCATTCACCTCTAAGCCCTGCCCTTGGGAACGTCGGGCCCCGCAGCCCAGTCCCCAAAGGCCACATGCCCGACCTAAGGGAGCTGCACGCCCGAACCTCCGGGGCGCAACGAGGTCACCCCCAGGCACCTGAGCTGGGATCCGACTAAGGTGTCGCTCCGGGCGGGTGGCCCAGCGCGGTGTAGGACGGGGAGCGTCTGTCAAGCCCGGCCTAGGCGCAGGGCGCTTACGGGAATTCACGCTGAGACTTGGGCGGCTCCCAACAGGAAATGGCGTGTGATTCAGTGTCAGTTTCGTAAAAGCCAAATCCGGAGGGGATGCTGCGAGCAGAATGAGGGCGTTGGGGGTGTTTGTCTCTGTTTTACAGCAGCCCTGCAGCCCTTGGGGGTCTGGTTGCTGCTCACCTTTCCAGCCCGGCCGGCCCTCAGTAGAAAGTTTTCCATGTTTGCTGGATGCATGTTGAGTATTCAACTCACAGAACCATGACACCTTTCGTTTGTGTCTGGCACAAACAGGAAATGGTGCATCAGGCGTTATAGGTGTGTGTGGCGCACCAAAGGAACTCGCAGCCTCACTCGGGTCATTCTGATGGAGTGAAATAATTGTTGATTTGAAAGAGCTGAGAAGTTGAGAGGAAACGTCACTGTTCCCAAGCCCTTGTGCCTGGGTGACAAGGCTCCACCTCCTGATGGCTCCACCTCCAGCTCACCCCCACCCACCCAGCCTTCATCCCCCTCCTCAGACCCCCACCCCACCAGCTCCCCCAGTCTTCTCTCCACATCAGCCAGCTAAGTTTCCCTTGGCTGCTGAAACAAACGACCACAAGCTGCGGGCTTAAAACAACAGGAATTTACTAGACAGTAAATTCCCAATTATGGAGGCCAGAAGTCAGAAACTGGGGCCTGAAGAGCCGTGCCCCCTCCAGAAGCTCTGGGGGGAGGACCTTTCTCGCCTCTTCCAGCTTTTGGTGGTCTCAGGCATCCCTTGGCTTGTGGCCACATCACTCCCATCTCTGCCTCCACCTTCACATAAGGACACATTGTATTTGGGGCCACCAGGGTAATCCAGGATGGTCTCATCTGAAGATCCTTAACTTCATTACTTCCGCAAAGACCCCCTTTACCAATAAGGTCACGTTCACAGGTTCCAGGGATGAGAACGTGGGCACATCTTTGGGGGGGGGGGCGCTACTCCTTGGCCCACAATGTCAGCCACCAGAGCAAGCTTCCTAAAATGTGAGGCTGAATGGGTGGCCTAGGCCTGACATGCCCGTCCTTGTGGGGTCGCCAGCCTCAGGTGCCACCACTTTGCCACTCATGGCAAGGACCTAGGGCAGCTCCCTGAAGATGATGGAGTCCCAGCTGAGGGTCTTTGCACATGCTCAGCCCAGTGAAGGAAGTCCCACCCCACATCCTTCTCCCCAGCTCCCTCTGGCCCAGGCAAGGCTCAGGCCCTCTGGGCTGAGTACCTGTGTGCGCGCATCAAATGCATGTGTGCGTGTGTGGAAAGGCTCAGGCTCCCAGCCCCGTGCTGTTGGCCCCTGTCATGCCTTGAGCACTCTGTTGCCGGTGTGTGCCCCTGGGCCAGGAGCAGTGCCACCTTCTCCCCAGCCTGGAGCACCCACCTAAAGGAGCTGTGGGTCTTCAGGGATCCCAGCTTCCCACATTCATGCGCTTTACACATGCTCTCCATGCACTCACACATAAACACACACATGCCCCTCAGGCATTCCCACCACTGACAGAGAGGTGCACACGTGTACACACGTGCCCGCCCCCAAACCGTAGTCCTCTTTCCTCTGGCCCCTGCCTGTCACCTCCTCGCCCACTGTGTTCGCCAGTTAAGCAGTGCAGCTGGGACTCTCGCTGCTCCCCTGGGCCTTTCGTGATGTGAAGAGGCTGAGCTCAGCAAGCAGTAGGTGCCTGTGAATGTGAGTCGAGGGAATGACTCAATGAACACATTAATTTTTCAAGCCCTGGGTCACGGGGCATCCTCCTGGCAGGCAGCCTGGGTGCAGTGGTTGATAAATGAATAATTCACCAGCCACCCATTGGAACCGGCAAACCCCTAGGCAGCACCTCGTCTCCTACCAGCAGGGCACACCCACTGAGGGGGCCCTCCCTTCCTGTCACCTGTCACCACTCCCCTCTCTGGCATTCCCCTCTCTCCCCAACTCCTGGACCCTTGACCTCTCCCAGGAATCATCCCTAGGCCCCGCACAGAGAAGGCAATCAATAAAGGTGGGGCAGACAATCGTAGCAGAAGAGGATTCTATGGTATTTGCCACACTGCCTTATCTAACCCTTATCGGTGCCTCTACACCGAGTAAGCCACAGTCCCCTCCTCCCAGGGCCCACCCTGCTATTGCCGATCACATGAAGGAGGGAGGGAGGGAAGGAGGGAGGGAGAAAGGAGGGGCTAAGGCTGAAGCTCACAGGAGGCAGAGAAGAGGGAGGGGTATTCAGGGTGCAGAGGAAGGCTGTGCCCAGCAGGGTCCCAGGAAAGCCTGGGAATCTTTTTTCTTTTCTTTTTAAAATATATCTTTATTGATTTCAGAGAGGAAGGGAGAGGGAGAGAGATAGAAACATCAATGATGAGAGAGAACCATTGATTGGCTGCCTCCTGCACGCCCCCCACTGGGGATCGAGCCCACAACCCAGGTATGTGCCCTTGACCGGAATCGAACCCGGGACCCTTCAGTCCCCAAGCCAATGCTCTATCCACTGAGCCAAACCAGCTAGGGCGAGCCTGGGAATCTTTGTTTTGTTTTTTAATATATTTTTATTGATTTCATTTTAATTTTTTGTATATTTATATTGATTTCAGAGAGGAAGGGAGAGAGAGAGAAACATCAATGATGAGAGAGAATCATTGATCAGCTGCCTCCTGCACACGCCCCACACTGGGGATGGAGCCCACAACCCGAACATGTGCCCAGACCCGGAATTGAACCGTGATCTTCTGGTTCATAGGTTGAAGCTCAACCACTGAGCCACACCGACCGGGCTAGGCCTGGAAGATCTTCAAAGATGGGACCATATCCAAAGTGCTCGAGCCACTCCCATCTTCCCCAGGGGCCTTCGCATGAGGAGCACTCGGTTGAAGGGCAGCCTCGTTCAAGTCCAGTTACCACTTGTCCTTGGAACCTTCTCAATATTTGAGGACCAAGTTCCACTGTCACCCCTTCTTCCCACTCTGCCCCTTTCCTTTCTTCTTTTTTATCCTCACCGAGGATATTTTCCCATTGATTTTTAGAGAGAGTGGAAGGGAGAGGGAGAGACAGAGAGAAACATCGATGGGAGACAAACACATGGATTGGTTGCCTCCTGCACACACACACACACACACCCACCGGCCCCCGGGCTGGGGAGGAGCCGGCAACCCAGGCACGTGCCCTTGATGGGATTTGAACCTGGGACCCTTCAGTCGGAAGGCCAACACCCTATCCACTGAGCCAAACCAGCTAGGGCTGCCCCTTTGCTTTCCACCAACATTTTCTGTGCAAGCCTCTCCCCTCCCGTCCTCAGCAAATCCAGCAGCCTCACTTGGGGTCCCTCTCCCCTCCCCTGCCACCCTTCTCAGTGCCACGTCTCTGGAACCACTTGTGCCCCTGGATTCCATGCCCTCCCGCATGCTCTGCCCTTGGTCCCTCACATCTGGCCCCTGATGCATGAAACTGTCTCCCACCCCACCCCCATCCTTATCTTAGACTGTTCAGGCAATATAACAACATACCACACACTGGGTGGCTAATAACAGAAATTTCGTTCTCACCGTTCTGGGGAATGGAAGTCCAAGATGAGGGTGCCAGCATGGTGGGGTCCTGGTGAGAACCTCTTCCGGGTTGCAGATAGCCCTCTTCTCACCGCGCCCTCATGTGGTGGGAGGAACAAGAGGTCCCTCTGGAATCTCATCATTCCATTTCAGGCTCGCATTCAGGCCATAGAGTGCCTGCTAAGGTTATGGGCCACCTCCCAACTGCCTCCTCCCGGCAGCCCTCGCAGGGGGCCGCTCTGTTATCAAGAACCTGGCTCCCAACTCTGCTGTCTTGCTGTCTGGCTGCCCAGCTGTGATGCCTCATCCCTCTGCCCCCACCCCCACCCCCACCCCTTGAGCCCACATCTGGGCAAGCTGACCAGAAAGCCTGGGCACTCCCTCCTTTGGGAGTTCAAACCACATACAGGAACCCTCACCCTGCCCCCCCACCCCCACCCCCCATCCCAACCTTGACAAAGAGCCCTGCCCGTCTCCTTTCCCCTCCTTTCCGTGACCTCTCAAGCCATGTTCTGACCAGCGTGGGGACCTGCCAGAAAGCTCAGGATGTGAGGAGGGAACCTTTTCATAACCTCTTGGTGGGTGTGGCATCACCAGTCTCCACATTCAAACCAAATCTGGGGCGGGGGTCCCTCCTGTTCCCACAGAGTGGCCACGACACACTCCCTCCCGCCCTACACACTTGCCCCTTGTGGGCGCGGGCAGGCTCTCCTGCCCCCCCCCCCCCCCCCCGTTGACTGAGTGCCCACGTGGGCCGTGATCAGGCCTGGCGCTGGGACAAAGCAGACAGGGTCTCCCTTCAGTAGCCTGCCCTCACCCCCTCGCCCCCACACTCCAGACAGAGCAACCTTTGTGAGAGTGAAGTCTGATCGGGCCCTTCCCTCCCCGAGCCCCACCGGAGCCGGACCAGCTGCCAGAATGCAGCTCCCTTTACCTGGCAGGTCAGGGTTCGCTTTTATTAAAGACGCTGGGAGTTTCCTTACAAGTGAGGACACTGGGGG